GTCAGGAAGCTCAAGAATTTGCATGCACAAGATTTCAGGCTGAATATCCCATTTTCCAAAAGGTATGCCTGGTAGAAATTTTGAAGTTTATGGCCCTGTCCCTATATCGCAATGACTTGCACTATTTCTTGTTACACTCTGAATAATCCTCATACATGTGCTTTGGCTTACACAAGTCATAAGCATATTCTCTGCTGGCTGTGGAAACAGTTTGTAAAGAACAATAACTTACACCTAAATTCCAAGCTTGTTTGAATGTTCAATATGAATCGTCACTATCTATTTTACTTCATTTGAACTTGTATCCAATATTCAATAATTTAGAGTCTTTTTTTCAGTAAATCTACCTAGATAACATCCTTCGATGTGGTTTTTAGGTCTATCCTGTCTCTTTTAACACCTTCAATTTCACGCGTTCACACCTATATACCAGTGCATCTAAAAGCCTACATTGGACATGGTGAAATCATCTCAAGCCACTGCCAACTTTTCTTGTTTTATCCTTTACGTGCAATTTTCTATTATATACTCATCTCGGGCCTCAGAGGCCTAACATCAACTGTAATGTAACATTTGACGTTTTGCTACCGTTCAATAGAACTTGCTTTCACTTTGATAAGTATCCTTCTATACCATAACATTCTGGTAACAGTTTTCCATTTAAACCATCCAATTTAATTCAATGTGTTACATCTGCATCTGTTGTACCATTCTCCATGAATATCAAGCCTAGATATCTGAACTCTCTAAATTTACATACTTTAATCCCGTCTAATCTCACCTCAATTTCACTCTATTTATGCTGTCTGCTGCGTATATACTTTTTATCTTTTTCTTATACTAAAACAAACTTACTTTCTAAAGTGTTTATCCACAATTCGAACTTTTGGTTATCACTCGAAACTATTTGGGCATGATAGTAAAACAAGTGAACTAGAAAGTAGTGAATGTAGAAACATGCAACTCTGTAATGAGAGCTCTAATTCAAACCAAAGGAACCAAAAGATCTGCCAATTTTGCAAAGAAAAGAGAAGGAAACTGAATGAAATCTGTAAGAGAGAAAAAAAGGTCAAATAGAAGATGCTTAATTCAATCCCATTCCCGCCATTAGAATACAAAAGCATCAATTTATAGGCTTAGGTAGTTATAAAGATCCCAACCTCAGACTGAAGACTCTAGTAAGAGCTTGCAATGAGAGCTAGTATAAAAAATAATGTGTGACCTGGCACTAAAGTGAAAGTTCAAAAGTTTGAAATGCAGTTCTAGCTGCCAAATGTTCTCTTCTTCTTTCTCAACCATAAAGTACTATGCATTTCTTTCTCTTTCAAACAAGTTTGAACTCTGGAAATTGCGAGTGAAGTAAAATTATCTCATGTGGGCTTCTGTTAAAAGATTCACTTATTGAACTAATAATTGATTAATTGTTATGTTCCCTTTACTATCGCTCTCTGTTCAAGTATAGCCATTGCTTCGAATAAGGGTTGTCAAACTGGTAAATTAGTCGAATGAGTTGCATTCTCTCAACCTTCTTCTTCAGCTGTGAGACATGGAATACTGATGAATTTCTTAATGTACTAGCAGTTAATAAAAATTTGGATGGTTGCTTCCAATATTTGAATGATATGGTATTACCCAAAATATTCAGAGGACAACTTCGAGTTCTTGTTAATAGATACTGAGGATTGCCTATAGTGTAGAGAAAATGGACTTTGGGGCTAACTTTACCCGAGAAGATAGCTTATGAAGTGAGGATTTACTAAAACCATATAAGGAGAAAACGATCTACTCCATAAATCAATATGAGACATTCTAATACCCCTCTCACGTCCAGGTTGGCCATTTGGAGAGTGGCCAAGATAACATGGGTTCCCCATGTTAAAATAACTAACTATAGGGATGTGTCTGACTCTAATATGTAAAGAAAATGGACATTGGAACCAACTCAATCTCAAAAACTGGCTTATGAAGTGAAAATCGGCCAAGACCACATAAGGAGACAAACTCCTTTCCCTCAATCAATGTGGAATATTCTAACACATAACTTTGTAACTTTATATAGATCTCATCGCTAATTACAAAATACCCTTCACCTGCATTTGTATCCCTTTGTGCTTTTTGTAAATTGTTTCGCTACACCTTATCCCATAAGCTATTGCTTTAAGAGTTGATCTACTAAGGTCAACTTGGACTAAGATACCAAGTTGAAAGACAGTTGTGGTGATCAAAACTCATAGAGAATTAAATAGTGTTATCTGCTATGCTTAGTGGCAATTCATAATTTTTACCAATATTCAGCCAAAGAGAGCCATTTGTTCCACTTTATAGTCTGATGACCAATCACACATCTGAGGTTAGTTTCAGGATACCTATTGAGCTTCTCAGTTTGCCCATCTATTTAGTCTGAGCTCAACTACAAGTTAACCTGCATTATTTTTTAAATCCTTCTGAATGAGGCAAAGAAAAAGATTTGTCTCTGCCTATGAAGCTTTTAACTGAGAATGCCTTTGCTACTTTTATAGAAGTGAATGGATAAGTCTGGATTAAAATTGTGCATATTTGCTTGTACGGCCATGATGACCATGACCACTTCTTTCCTTAAGATCTGGGTAGGCTCTCAATAATGTCAATGGCTATGTATTCCCAAGCTTTATTTGGGATAGGTATGACTGCAGAAGCATTGAATTATCTACATTCTCAGCCTTGCTCTTCTAACAAATGTCACATTCTTAAACCATCTTTTAACATCATTTGCAATTGAGGCAAGCAGCGCACCAATCTAAGTTTTTGTTGTATAGCTTAAAATTCTTAAATGCCCACCTAAGATTGAAGCTGCATACTCTCCATTATTCAGCCCGCCACACTTTACCTTTATATTGGAGTGACATTTCTGTAAAGTAGTATCAGGAATTTGAAGGGGAGCCTTGGCACAACTGGTAAAGTTGCTGTCATATGACTAGGAGGTCACGCGTTCGAGCCGTGAAAACAACCTCTTGCAAAAATACAGGGTACGACTGCGTACAATGGGCCCTTGTGGTCCGGCCCTTCCCTGGACCCCGCTCATAGCGGGAGCTTAGTGCACCGAGCTGCCCTTTTTAGTATCGGGAATTTACTTTTTAGCAACATAAGGCAAACGCACGTTGCTTAAATCTTTTAGCAAATAAGTGTTTTTGCCTCGACAAAGTAATCACAACTCCTTTTCAAATCAAAGGAACATAAAAAGAATTTCGGTATTTGCAAAGCTAAGGAGAGGGGAAAACTGAAAAGGCGAAGAAAAAGTCAAATGGGAAGATGCGTAATTCATTTTGATCCTGCATATTATAATGCACCGAAAGATCAACTTATAGGCATAGGTGATTACAATGATCGTGACCTCATGTTGACATCACTGGTAACAACTTGCGAGGAGGGCTAATATATAAAGTAAAGATTAAACTTGGAGCAAATCGTAAAGTGACAATTGTGACACGCTGTCATAATTGCCAAAGGCTGCATACTCCTCGAGCTTAACGTACTATCATGACTAGAAGTTCTGACCAGAAACGGAGCTAGAGTTTCAAGCTTATGGGTTCAGAATTTTAAGCCTTTTAATTTATTGGGTTCTAAATTAACGATTTGTACTAATCAACAAATTTTTCAAGACAAGTACAAAATTTGAACTAAAGCTACTGGTTCGCCGAACCCGTAGCCACAACACTAGCTCCGCCCCTAGTTCTGATTTCTGTTTATTTGCTTATTATTCTCTTCTGCCATAAGTTATGCATAATATTTGGATCTTGGTGGTTTACTACTGAATCATTTAAGAAAAAAGAGCAAAGTGATCAAGGTAAAATGTCTGTTAAGAGCCTAGTGAAGAAAGCGTTGGTTATCTTGTTAACGACCAATAAGCTGATCAATATGTGTTGGGAAATGGCAGCGGTAGTTGTAATCGTTTAAATACCTCTATACGTTATCACCATGCACTTTACTATTGTATGATATAGACTATAAAGTTAGGCTGGCTCTGCTTAAATCTCTTGACATAAATATCAGACCATAATTGCTTCATCCTCTCTGGATAGCCTACTTTTTAGGCCACCCC